ACTCTGTATTCCTCTTTATTCCTGCAGTCACCGGCTAATGAAACGTGCCACAGATATTTATAGAACTGCCATTGTAAACAGAATTTGCATTTGGTGCCTTTGAGTTATTTAGTGTGACAGCGCATTCACCAGGAGGATTTTTTCGCTTTGAAAGGGAAAGGTTCCCTTTGGAGCCGTTTCCTCCCATCGCCTTTGCTGTTTGTGTTGGGTGGAGCAGTTCTGTGGGCAGCTGTGATAATTTAGTGACGAAGCGATGGGCACGCGGGGATGAGCTGAGCGTGGTGAAGGTTTTTGGGCTGTGTCACAGACAGTTTACAGGATTCTCCGAGACAATGTTTGAGTTACAGAGGAGATGAATAGAGAGGAGACCAGTCGCCAGAGAAGTTCATGGCACAAAGCAAAACAACCGCCAGCCTGCCTTCCCTAGGAAGCCCGTTGTGTAAATATTTGGGTAGGAGCCTCCAAAGGAGATTTAAAGTCTTGTGATAAAGGTAACTAAGACGTCCTTTCCTTGAGAAAAACAACTGTGATTCAAAAGATCCCATGAGAAACCACAAGGCAGATTTCCTTTCTGTAGCATCTCTGTACTAGGGTGAACAAACATGTATGTCAGGACTTGTTGTCACTGATGGATCTTAAAATGTTTTTCAAAGGTCAGGATCAGTTTTCCCATCCTCAGGGTGCAGAACCCGAGGAGCAGAGAAAGAACGCATGCCCTGTGTATGATCAGCCCTCCTGCACACTAATCCAGCACCTCAGCTGCACAAACACGTTGCTTCGGATCTTCACATGCCTTACAAGCAGTATCTGTGTTTGAGTATTGAAGATATATTATCCATAGTCTTTACACATTCATGTATAGAAATGACAGAGCTTTTTAAAAGCACTTGTGCTCAGTTCTTCAAGTGCTCTGGGGTCATGCTGCATGTGCAGGCATTAAGAGAAGTGGCAGATTTAAAAAAAAAAAAAAGTGACTTACTGAGCTGTTTTAGAAAAAAAAAATGTGTTCTGTATTTTGGTGCATAATTTCCATCTGAGTTTGTGCTAAGTCTGGCCCATGAGATGCATGTGGCCCATATTCACACCCAACGTGTGCAGCTCCCTGCCATATGGATGAACTGTTAGCACACAGGAGTGTGTAACACAGTCCCACCTCTTCATATGTCTTGGGAAGCATTGGAAATCTGAGGGATTGATGTGGATACAGCATCGTGGCAGAGCCATAGCTGAGCACGCAGCAGGCATAACCATGGAGCTCGGCTAGGAATCCTATCACCTCACTTGAAAGGTCCTCTGTACTTCGAGCATCAAGGGCATATTGACTGTTAGGCTGAACTAGACATTTGACTTACTTCTTTCTGGAGTTAGGAAGGGGGCTCTTTCCCCCCAGAAGGAAAGTGGAGGACTGTGTTGGTACAGGGAATCTCACTCACTGAGCTCACAGTGAAACCCAGGACTTGATCGGGAATGAACTCCCCTGTTTCCCTGCCACATCAAGTATCCATCTCTTCTGTCAACAACTCTGCTCAACCATTGCTTCTTGTCTCTTTGATGGGAGTTTGCTTTTCCAAGGTGAAGGGAAAGCTGTGCCTCTGTGCCTTATATCTCTCAGTTCTCCACTTCCTTCTCTCGGTAAGAGTCATGGAAAAGGAGAAGCTCAATTCACTCCTGTAGTCTTCCCCCACTGAAACTCTGGTGCTGCTCAGCTCACCTTGGTGACATCCTGCTCCCATCTATAGGGCTTTGATGTTGATTTTCTTTCTCTAATTGCACAGGGAAGCAGAAGGGTTTCCCTGAGTTGTTGTCCAAGAGGCGGCCACAGCCTCATCCATGGCAGTGCAGCAGATAGCACAGAGCAGCCAATTTGCACAGCATCAGAAGCAGCATCTTTCACCCAGACAGACTGTGCTAAATCAGTTCCTCCTCACTGTGCTTTGAAATGTTCCTGTTTCTTGCTCTGACAAACTAGCAGAATTTGTATTGATCTGGCGATGCAAAAAAGCACATAATGTGGGCTTCAGACACCTGGTGGAATAATAAAGCAGAAAGGAGGGAAAGCAGGACCATCATATTTTAGCTTATATTAAATAGGAAGCCTGTCTCTGCCTTCTTTTCTTTTTCTCTTGGAAAGCACCATTTGTTCCCAAGGGAAATGAAAAGCCCCATGGCTGGGCATCCTGTCTGCAGAGGGAAATGCTGCAGCAGATCTCCAGCCTGTGGTCCTGCTGAGCTTCAAGGGATGTTCATGAAATGCCATGCAATTAGTTAACCATCATGTGCTGCATTTCAGAGCTTTGCTTTATTCAGGTATTTATTTATGTTGCCAGCTGTTTGCATTTGGGATTTCTTTAAGCAGTGAAAGCACTAAGGGGTTATGAAACTCTGGTTTGGAAAAGCATGGAGAGCTAAAGAAGCTTCTCAAGGAAAGCAAGTGCTTTGCTGAAACAGTAAAGCACAAAGTCATACATCTCAGAAAAATTTCCCTCTTTCACCTTCTTTTATTCTTATTTTGACTCTGTTATAATTGATGGAGTGTAACACACGAAAGCTGGACTGTGTTCCCATCCCTGCCATTGCCACGATAAACTCACTGCTTTATCTCTTGCCTTGGGTAAACTCATATTAAAACTGGAATTTCTATGCACAGTCCCCATCTTGAGGATGCAGTGGATATGTGACAGTAAGAGGACAAGGGAGATGCCAAAGCAGAGCTCAGGCACTCAGAGTTTTATCTGCTGGGGAAGCCAAGCAAAGGAAGCTCTGCCATCCAAGTGAACATGACCCACCCAACTCTTGTTCTGAGCAGGAGAAACCATTGCAAAGTCCTTGTGTGAGTCTCTGGCGTAGCTTCACAACTGAGCTGAAAACTGTTTAATAGCAAAAGAACCTCACGCACCAAGCAGTACACCTTAGGAGAAGCCATATTTTGCATAACATTCCTTATCAGAGGAAACTCTCCTAAGACAATTTATTACCACGGCAGTAACTGGCTGACATTTAAGAGAAGCCTTGTTTTACAAGGCTTTCCTTTGGCTGCAAAGCCAGGGCTCCAGTTATGCTCATGGAAAAAGAGAAGGAAAGCAATGTTATTTAGCGTGCAGGATACTCAAGAGGTGTGCTGATGTGAATAACAAAAGGGGGTAAAATTGTCATGCATTGCACGGGATTGTGCATTCCAGGTTTGTAAATTTGAGCTGAGTTGAAGGGAAAAGCTCATTTTGACCGAAGTTTTCTCATAATAAACTCTGTATCTTGCATGGTCCGCTTGAGGTTCAATAGAGTTGTTGGAACACTTGAATTTTTGCTTTGTGGAAGAGGCTGGGGCCAGGGTAAGACTCGCTCCAATCTGGCCCCAGGAAAAGGGTAGATGATTGTGAGACAGAGCTGGCAAGAGGGAGGACAGGAGCACACAGAAGAGCCTGATGGGCTCCTGTACTGAGGAGGGTGAGGGTGATGCTGCAGATCCCATGGCAATGGCCATGCACTGCCTGGGCTCTTGAACGGGTAAAGTCGGTGGTGGAGCATCCATCGCTGCCTCTCGGATGCCAGCACATCCAGCCCCATCAAGCCACAGGAGTGGGTGATTTTTAACCTGCAGAGCTGAAGCAGAAAGCTGAGCTGTCCTCAGTTAACCCCCCAAGTCCACATCTCCCCGCTCTCTGGAAGGTGGCTTTGCATCAGGGGCTCAGCTCAGCTGGCACTGGTGGAAAGAGGTGATGGATAAGGGCAGGAATGCCCAGGACACTGGGGCACTCATGTCCCCAGCAGCCTGCAGGCCCCTTGCCAGGCTCCCGTGGACCCTCAGCTCCCTTCTGGTGATGCTTTCAGACTCTATGTGGCAAGTAATATCATTAAACTGATATGGGGATCCACGCAAAGCACAGGAAGGTGCCTTGGCTGGAGGGTCCCTGGGGCACTAAACAGAGCTGTGGGGCTGCGCTGGGTCTGTGTTGCCGTGGGTCCAGGTGTGTGTGGGTGTCGTGGGGTGAGCCCACACCAGGGGGGCTGCCTGTGCTGCCTAAGTCATGATGAGGAAGGGATTTACAGGAGCCAAAGAGGCTTAAAGCGGTCCATATCCCATTAACAGATAGTGGGATTGTGCTTGTTCCTGTGCCTCAGGGGCTTTGTTGGACTGAGCTAGGTTCTGTAACTCTGCAAAGCAAAGTTGGTCCCTGCTTACAGAGCTCTGTGCAAGAGGAGAGCTGGGAAAGGGCTTGGTGCACTGTAGAGGAGTTCCCTCAGACTACAAGTTGTGTATTTCTTAGGACCCCAATCTATGGACCTTAGAAATTTCATATAAAGCTTTCATATATAAAATAACAACTTTCCTGATATTATTTGTTGACAGTGGTAATAAACTGTACTGGCATGGAAACACCTTTAGACCAGTACGATGATATCACAAGTGGCTCCTGTAGTACATCTTAAATAGGACACCCCAAGTAGGACAAGCCCATTCAGGATTTCAGGATCAAACAAGCAGCTGGTGCCATTCCAGGAAGCACAAGGGGAGGACCTTGCTTGTTCCACAGTACCTGTGGGATGGCTGGATCACTGCCAGTGAGGGGTTTGGGGAAACTTGTCTGGATGTCTCCTCCACCAGCCAAGCTGCCTGCAGAGCTGGAGGCTGCAGTATGAAATGTCAGGGCCCCTGCAAACCATCCCCTGGCCCCGCTGTACACACTGGAACAACCTCCTCCCGGCAGCTGCATCCGAGCAGGCGCCAACTCTGCTCCGTGACAGCTACCAAGGTGGCTTTTCTTTTTCTCCTTCCGGCCTTTTTCTTTCCCCTGGTGCCAAAAGAAGGGAGATTAATTTAAAAAAGAAAGAAAGAAATAAACAAACAAAAAACCCACAACACCAAACCAACCAACACAACAACCACAAACCAAAAGCACTGCAGCTTTGGAGTGAAAGCCCCCAGCTTGCGCCCGGGAAGCGGCCTCGTGCCGAGCTGGAATGCCGAGCGCCCTGACACACGTGCCTCTTCTCTCTTGCAGATGACGGAGGGTCGCAGATGCCAAGTGCACCTCCTTGACGACAGGAAGCTGGAGCTCCTCGTTCAGGTAGTAACTGCACGTTTCGCCATGTGATAGTTTGCTACAGCTGCGGGTTTTCGCCGGGGTGGGGAGAGAAAAGGGTTTTCAGCTGGTTTTCTCAGCAGCTTCACACTGTGATTGCCTGCAGAGCTCAGGGAAGTTCCATTAGTGCTGTCTGGGAAGGATCTGCAGAGGCATATCTGTGGGAAGGACTAGTTCAGGACATGGTTTGCTTTATTCTGTGCCAAAACTGTCCCAGTCCCTGCCAGTAGACAGAAAAGCAGCTCTCTGGTAATTTTTGACACTGTTACTGTTATCACTTTGCAATTTTTTTGAGGCACTGCTTAGCTTTGAGAAGTTTATTGCATCAGGCAGGCATTGCTTATGGAGTGTAAATCATGTGTCAAACACAAATATGCATTAAAATAAGTCGGTGCTGCATCTGCCTTATTTTTTAGATATGGGGAAAAAAAAAAAAAAAAAAAAAAAAGGAAAATTAGAAACAATGGGAGTCCAGTGGTGGTGGCTGTGTAAGGATGGGCTGATGGAAGCTGTAGTATCCTGTACTTTCCTGACAATTTTGGCTCCTGTCTCAGAGATCTGCAATGGGTTAATAACAAGAATTAGAAGAATGTCTTTCCTTTTACAAAGGCTTCGGGCCAGCCACAGGCAGCCCAAGCAGCAGGAAATGAAACTTCCCATAGCACCCGAATACCCCAGCTGCGGCTGATAAGCTGGGAGGGGGGGTGGGATCCTACCCAGCACCAGCAAACCTGAATGGGGATGGCTGATGGTGACTTGAATAGACGGAAGCACATTCAACCTCGCTTTCTGGAAAGTTGCTTAAAAATACCATTGCAAAATGGTTTTTAAGTACAGAGTCATCAAGGAGGTGAAATCCCTCAGCTCCCCGTGACACTTAGTGTTTTCAGAGAGTGTCTGGATAACCATGAGCCAGGCCAGAACTGGAATGAGAGCAGCTAAATCAGGATGACTAATTAAAACAAAACACCATGCCAATAATCTCTGCAAGGTGAGCACCCCTGCACTGGGCTGCACCGGGTTCGCTGAAGCTTTGCAGCTGGCTGGGGGGGAAGTTCAGTCACCTTCATCACAAGGGCACAGCACTTGGCTTCCCGTTTCATCTAAATGCCTTTTCTAATTTTTCTTAGTTCAATTAAAAATGAATGGGCTATTGGAGAACAGCTCTGCTAAAGCACTGCTCACTATATTAATAATCACAGCTTAAAAGATACTGCAGGAAATCTATGTGAGCTGCCCTGGCCAGCCTGATTATTTGGGGTTTTATCAAGGACACTAAAAAGCCACAGGAAGATGACTTCCAAGGAGGCTGGTTTGGGAAGCTCTGTGTCCACTTCCAAGTGAGCAGGAATGATATCACATGATATTATGTTTTTTCAAGTGTTTGAACACACCTTCAATGGGAATTCCTTGTAATCAATATAGGAAGTGAATTGCTCTGTAAATCACACTAACTAGTTTGCAAGTGACCCATGGTTGAATTTTATTTGTACAATAAATCGTTTTGCTGTTTTCAAGTAATGTACAAATGGGGAAAGCCAAGGAGGGGTGATGATGAAAAATTCATGCCCAGAGAAAGCAGTAACCTCTGTTCCATGCAGGTTGACCCAGATCTCTGAGTACCATCATGCCCCCACGTGTACAGGATTGTCCACTGAGGTATCTCAGAAGCTTTTCTGGCTTAGTGAGGGTTTTCAGTGCTCTCAAGGCAAAATCACGTTTGCATACAGCAGATGAAGAGAAAGTGGGTGTTTGGACTCAAGTATGCCTCTACTATTAACACTCTTTGCAGACATGGGCACACTATTTTGGTTTGCCTGCCTTAAAAGGTAAAGCCACCAGCATTGGGGTGATCCTAGTGCTGGTCCACTGGGCCAGGAACAGGCTGATTTTACCCAGATGGGCAGCTCTTTGCCCCAGTGGATCCTCAATCAGCTGGGCTCCCTCCAGGAGCAACGTGCACTTTGCTAGGGGAAATCTCACCAACTAACCTGGACTGTTTGCAACTCGTCATGAGATTGCAGATAAAAGTTGCTTTGTAAGTTCTGAACACCATATTTTTGTTGTTATTACCTTATCTTGTAGCTGAACTGAACAAGAAGCTGTAAATAAAATGTTCGTCCAAGCCCAAGCTTCTGGCTGTCACTTCAAAGCTGTATTTTTCTGTGGGTGTCTTGTTACGGGCTGGTTTGCTGGTTTTTTCGCCATGAAAGAGGTTCCTCTGTAGCTTTGTTGGGCCTTAACATCTAGACCTGCATTGGCTTGAATTATTTAGGAGTCAGGTACTTAAATTCTTGTGTGAAATTTCCTGCTTCCCACCACCTCAACTTTTCTCGGAAGCTTTTCCATAGCTAATTTCACACTCTTACAGCAAGTTTAGGGGAGACTGCTGGGAATCAGCAGAACTGATTTCTTTGCCATGGGTGAGATCTAAATAGCAGACTCATGTGGGCCTGGTTTTACACAGCTTTGCAGTGCTTGTGTGTGTAACATCAGGTGCTCTGCTTAGAGAAGCGTTCAGGGATCCTGTTCCTGTGTTTTCATAGAATGATTTCGGTTGGGAGGGATCTTAAAAGCCATCTAGTTCCAACTCCACTGCCATGGGCAGGGATACCTTCTACTAGAATTGATTGTTCAGAGCTCCATCCAACCTGGCCTCAAATATGGGGCATCCACAACTTCTCTTGGCAACCTGTTCCCGTGCCTCACTACCCTCTGAATAAAGAATTTATTCCTAACATATCATCTAAATCTCTCCTTTTTTAGTTTCAAACCATTCTTCCTTGTCCTATTGCTGTCTACCCTTGCAAAAAGTCTCTCTTATTAAAAAGACCCCTTTAAGTCCTGGAAGGCTGCAATGGGGTCTCCCCAGAGCCTTCTCTTCTCCAGACTGAACAAGTCCAACTCTCTCCACCTGTATTCATAGGAGAGGTGCTCCAGCTCTCTGTGGTCCTCCCTTTTGATGTTGAAAAACCAGCAGAAGCAGCTTGGTCTGATCAAAGGAGAGACCTGGGTACAGCTCCCTCGAACTGATGCAGGAGGGCTCCTGGAGCATCTTGAAACAGCTTCGGCCAGTGACTCTGGGGAGCTGAAATTATTTCCTCTCCTGCCTCGAGTGCTGCTAGGCAAAACCAGATGCTTCTGGGAACGATCAGGTTGTTTGCAAAAAGCAGTGTATTAAGCAAATGTCCTCCCTTTTTGTCTGTGAATTAGCCATGATCAGACTCAGGGTTTATGAATATGTTGTCTGAAACATATCAATTGGCGGGTAACAAGGACCATACCTCGGGCTGCAGGAGGATGGAGGCTGGTAATGGTGCTCCTGCAGCTGCTCTCAGGACTCAGCAGTGGCTCAGTGCGACAGCTCTGCCAGGCCAGATTTAAACATTTCTATACCACAAGTTCTCTCCCAAAACTACAAAGACACCTCTGATAGGCCACACAGCAATTGCCAGTGGGACCCCCCCACCACTGGCATATATGTCTTATTTGCACTACCACAGCCCAAAAGTGAGATTTTGGCTCAGAGGCAGCATTTATAAGCCCTTCTGTGAATGCTGGCTTGCTTTGGTGTTGGCACGTAACACAAGGGCTTGGGGTTACCACCATCATCAGGAAAGCAATCCTGGGTTTAGTCAATCAAGGAGTCTTGACTACAGTCTTTTCCTCCCAAGTTGAGCAGCTGCAGAGTGGTGCAGCAGCAGCAGCAGCTAAGGAAAAGCAGAAACAGAGCCTTTGAGGATAAAAGAAAACCCTCCCCAATGTGTTTTGTCAGATAAATGGTGAAATTTAGAAGGGCTAATCATAAACGGAGACGGAGGAGGATCATATGGAAATCTCTTCCTGAGGGTCTGAAACTCAAAGCCTGTTTGACTTGGGATTAGGCAGAAGAGTTGCATTTGGTGTGTGTTTCATTCGATAAATGCCTGTTGATGATCTGGGGTTTGTGGCAAGTTTACACAGCTTTTTTTTTTTTTTTTTTTTTGACAGTTTTTTCGTTCTGAGCAGGAGCAGAGTGTGGCTCCTTGGATCTTACAATCCGGGTTTTTTTTCCTCTTTCTGTTTGATGCATGTTTAGTTTCTAACACAGGGTGTTTTTTTTTTTAAAGTGTTTGGCTTTATCCAGCTAATCCTTTCCAGTGAGCGAGTCCCTTTTCTTCCTTCTGGAAAATGAATTTCCTCCGTTCCCCACTCGCAGCCTCCCTATCTGTTATATTATTTCCCAGTGACCGTGTGTATCATTTGTCTACTGCACATGAAAGGTTTGTGTTGCCTTATTTAAAGACTTTTGCATAATTGGCAATTCGTTCCTTTTCACGTGGGTTTTATAAACATGGCTTTTTTTCTGGGATGGCTGAATCAGGCAGCCTGCCTTGATCCCGGCTCCTGTGCCGGCTGCCGGTGCCTGTTATCTGACAGCAGCCCCGGCAACTGTCATCCAAAAGTGTTAAGCCTCCTAATTCTTTCTCTCTGGAGGAGTTATTGCAAGAATTGAGCTCATTCGAGGCTCGTAGCAGAGCCGTGTGTGGGGTCTGGAGGTTCTGAAATTTGATGGTAGGAAATAAGTGGGCAATTTGTTTCTAATCTTCTCCCCAGGAAACACTGAGCCCGATCTGAAAGAGCCAGGGAGAAACGGGGAGGTCAGCACAACCCATAGGCATTCTGGTCATTAACCCATCTCTATGTCCCTGTTGACACTTCTTAGTAACTCTTCTTGCAGCATTTCCATCTCCCAGCTGTGATGCAAGTGCATCCAGAGACACGTTAACAGTGATACAGGTACACCCACAGCCAAAATCAATGGGATGCACAGAACATCCCTTTCTGACCTTTTTGCCTTGTGCATAACCAACTGCTTTGAGAGGGCCAGGAGTCTTTCAGGAGCCCAGGATTTGCTTGCAGTGTGCCTGCCGTGCTTCAGCATCTCATCCCCAGGAACTGACTCCAAGCCAGACTGGGAGATGCTGGAGCTGCAAGCCAGCACT